CGCTTCTATATCTGCCATTTACAGTTTATTTTTGACGGTTAAAGGAAGTCCCTCGGGACGGTCACCTGCTGGGAGCTGGCTGCAATTTTCTCTTAACTGTTTTACGCAAGGCTCTAAACCCTTAGTATGCATTGGTAGGCACATTCGTCAAGGCCATATTTAGGTGCTGAGTGACGGAGGGGCATACACTAGGCAGCCAAGGGGACGGAGCAAGAAGAAGGCCTTCCGCCTTCTGTCGAGCAAAGAAACTGTAGATAAGCCAATGGTTGTACTTGTAACTTTCCAGCTTCCGAAGGATGATAAATTGCATTTGCCACCACCATACAATCTCCGGCAACGTCTGTGCGACGACACTGCAAGGACCTACAGCGTCGCACTACGCACGTAGCTTGGACTGTTAATACAGGCTTTTGCGCTGTGTGTTTCGGGGGGAAGAGAGCCCCAAAATGCTGCAAAAAAAGTAAAACTGCAAGGAAAAACATAGCCAAATTCGACACGCAGCAGAATCAACTGCGACGCTGCTTCCCAGACGACACTGCAGCGCTAAGTGCCTGACTAGGAGGGAGAAGTGATGGCTGTGCTTGAAGGAGCCGTGTTTCTTGTAATTCCAAGTCATTCATTTTGTTGAAGTTGATTTCCTGTCTTGCATACTCATACTTTCAATAGGGAAACAACTTTCTGGAGACAGATGCTGTAGAAAACCTGTCAAATCACCACTCGTCCAACGGGTTGGCAAGCCCTCTATCCCCCGGATATTCGCGGGTTAATGCTGGATTAAAAAGAGGCAGAACCCTGAAAGCGCGTGTGAAGTGTACATGAGTGACGAGTTCCGGGAGAGGAAATTTGTTAAGATCGAGGCACCATGAGCTTTCGAGTTCTGGCGAAGCCCTGCACGAAAGAACGTGCAATGCGGGAGCACGGAATGAACCGCTGACGGCACTGCAAAGGGGAGCAATTGCTAGAGTGGCGTTGGAATATCCTGGTGGGGAGCTCTCAGTGCTGGGATCGCTGTCACGGGGCCTCACCAGCTGGGGCCACCCTGCGGTGAAAATTGGTTGTTTGAAGCCGAACGCACCTGCGGGACCGTGAAAACGTGCATTTCGGGTGACTAGCAGAAGTGCTTAAACACATTTACGCCGATATGGAGCAACAAGCACACTTTGAGACTGTCTACGTGTTAATTAGCGGTTGATGGACGCGATCATTTGCAGCATTTACCGTCCGACCAGGTCGAATGGCGAGCACTTCACTGCACGAACAAACTTGTTAGATGGGCTCTAAGCCTATAAAACGACAGAATGCCTTAAGAAGGAAGAAGGGGCAGCGTCGGAGCCAGGCATTTTCAGATAGGAGTGATGAAGATCCCATGACCCGCTGAAGACCGGATCCAGTGAGGAGGAACCTAGCTGCAAATACCTAAGTCGCACCAACGTTAAGGCGAAAGGCTTCCAATATCCTACTTTGAGGCCATCGGACAAATCAAATGATCAGCAACTATCATTTTCCCGTAGTTTTACCACTAATGCCCGAAGATCCCTGCTAGGTCTCGAAGGACTGCAAGTGATCGTAGGCTCCCTCACAAGAATGCACGGGAGATTAAGAATGCGTTTCAACGAAAGTATGCAATTTTACTATGTAAAAAAACGAACAAATACGCCTTACAAACACAGTACTTGGCTGAAGAAAAAGCGGAATTGCGTTGTAGATATCATTGCCTCAAAAGAGCACATAGCCGTGCCCGGATGCGAGCCCTGAGGCAGCGCGACCAGGGCAGCCGAACCAGTACTGCCGCTACCCAAACTCCATCCCACGCACTTAATAGCCATTTCAGAGATTCACCCTCAATTTAGTGACACTTCCGATACTGAAATATCATATTTTTCACGGTGTTTCTCGAGAATGGGCGTCATCAATTTCCTCTCATTGGCGGCTGCCGCCGTTCTTTTGGTGAAGGCAAACGGGGAGGAACCGTCGGCCGCTAAAAACACTGCCGGTAAGCGTTTAATTATCCGAAATATCAGTTGATTTTCTCTTACATAGGGGGACAAGCCAAGGCTCTTAGGGGATTTCGTTGTCGGGGTTGCGCTTGCAGTGAGGGTAAACTGCTCATCACCGATGAACGCAGCTCGGAGTGCCGCAGGCTTCAGTGCACTCGAAGTAGCAGCAGATAATTCTGGACAACTACCAATTCATTCAGCAGACAGCGCAAGTCACTCTGACGATTCCAGTGGAAAAACGCCAAACGATGATTACCTGACGGACGTTTGCGATGCAATGAAGAAGGTAAGGCTAGACAGTCAAATCCGTGGAATGCCCCGATCTTAGTATTTGCTGAAATGCCACCAGGGCCCATCTAAAAACACAAACATAGATAGAGAAATACGCACTTACATATACATGCAACCAAATTACGCTGCATCCTTCGTTGTGGAGTGCGCAATACGACCATAATTCAAAGCCTGACAGGGGGCGACCCCTGATGGAACAAACCCACGTGTTACTTCCAACATCCATAATCAAGTGCTGGGTGCCTTGTGCAACAGGAACAGATGCCAGATGCTGTAGAGGAAATTACACCAGATGGTACCTACGCCTACGCAGTGCAAGAAGGAACCGATGCCGACTGCGAGGCCGCAGTGGCTTACTGGAAAGAAGCCTTCACCAACTTCGACGGCCTGCCTCCAGCTAACAGCACCGAGGCATCTGTGTACACCAGCGCCCAAAATGTCTCTTTCATCTCCCTGTTCAACCCCAAGGAGAGTCCCAAGGTGGACTGCGCATACT